CTGCCTACACATTCCCCAAACTTGCCAGAAATACACTACTGGATATATTTATTTCTCATAGTAAATTTTCCCAAAAGATAAATGTGCATTAATAAAAAATTTCCATATTCATGGGTGTGAGGGCTTCTTTACACAATTTGGATGGATATTATAGGATAAATCTTATATTCTATTCTAGTGCCTTCTCTGGTTATTTGAGAAAAAGACTCTTGTCTGCAATGATTCATACAGAAACAAGTTTAATAATAATTTCTTACTTTTCTTCCTTCCTCCCGCCCCTTCTCTTATAGGTCAGAAATCTGACCAAGAAACCTCTCATTTTAAAGGAGAAGAAGATTGCAATGTTAGCTTTTATACTGCTGAATAAATTACTGAAACAAAAAACAAAATGATCAGCCAAGCAGAAAATGCCTTATCATTTAAGTGTCAGTGAGTGTTTCTATGATATTAGACTCATAACTCAATAACTTTCAATATTATTACATTGTGGAAATGTATGAATTTTACATATCTTAAAGGAAAGCTATGGGAATGTACTGCCCATAATAACTGAATTTCTCTGTTTTCTGATTTTCTACTGAGACTTGCAGGGGAAAGAGTATCAAATATTTTATCTTGTACAGAAAAATAAATCCAGTACCTAGTTGGAGAATGAAGGGTATTTGTAAAAGCTTTCCTCCCAGTAGCACATTTTAAATAATCTAATTTTTACTAGAGTCAAAACAACATCATGAAGTGTTCAGCAGGTATCAACAAATTATTCCTGTTATGGGTTGTAATACAAATTAGTTTGATAGCGACCATCTATTTGTGATTCCAGTGCTTGCACATTGAGGCTTAGGGCCTAACCTAAAATCCACTGTAGACCATGTAAATCTTTCCATTTACTTTTAGAGGCTTTGGATCAGGTCCTTGGGGCTCATCTTGACCTCCCATTTTGTGCCAAAAATTGTGTGCACAGTGAGAGGGCACATCGCAAAATCTGGCCCGTTACCTTTTTTCCCCTCTTTTGTAGATTTGTCTGAACATAGGAGTCACCATAATGGATTAGACCAGTGGTTCACTTAGTCCAGTATCCTGTCTGACCGTGGCCAGCACCAAATGCTTCAGAGGAATGTATAAGAAACCCCATAGCAGGCAGATATGGGATAATCTGCGTTTTCCTACCACCCCCCCCATAAATATCTTGTCTGAATCCCTTCCAATTTTATGTACATAGTATACTAGATAAAGCTGTTCATATGCAGCCAAAATTTATAGCTATGGAACCTTCCTGTTTGTATCTGCTGTTTTTACATGATATTGCTCAGTAAAAATGAACTGTGAACATGCATACATACTTGTGCACACTGCTGATGCATTTGTTGTTGATGGTTTCAACCACTTTAAAATAAGGAAACCATAAGGATGGGTGAAATCATTGAGTCTAATTTCTATTTCACTTTCAGGATTCAAAAATTTGACCCCAAATCAAATAGTAGTAGTAAGAGCAATTTAAGTTTTTTTGGAAACTTCCTTGACCCAGCACTCTCAGTTTTTTCCCCTCAAAAACATTCCTCTATTTTTGACCCACTTTAGTTCTTGTGTTGAGAGACACTATGGAAAAAGTACTCTGATAGAAAAATGAAAAATAAATGGAAGAAAGTAAAATCTGAAAGATAGATGGTCACCAGGGAACATAAGAAGAGAGAAAAAAAGAGGTGTGAGAGAGGTTTTAATGAGGACAAAAATGGTCACCTATGTATGGTAGCTTAGCACTTTCTTTCTTGGTCTCTTTCATGTTATCAGTTGCCCGCATGCAACTAGGTGAAATCACAGAAAATGTCCCTCAGTTGGTATCATTTGGTTTTTAATGTCCACAGGTAGTTGCATAATATGTTAAGTCAACTGACTTTCCTTAATGAGGAAATAAACCAGCATACAGCATGGCAATGGGCTCACTCAGCGTAAAATCTGGAAAAAATCCTGCGTGAGGTGTGGTGTGGTAGTGGAATTCCTAGCACATTACATATTCTGTTGCTCAATATTGTTAAACAAGTCTCCACTCAGAGTGCCAGAACTGTTCACCTTTGCTTTGTGGTTCTCACTCATTTACCTCATGCACAAGAACACTCTAATATCAATATCAAGTCTCCCATGAACTGATGGTATAAAGGCCTGTACACAACTTATTGATCCAAAGTCCACTGAAGTTAATGGGAGTCTATTGATTTCAGTGAACATTGTTTCGGATGCTAACTGAACACAAATAAGTTTTCTTAATTAGCCCAGTGCAAGTGTCATAACCACAGAGAAATGGAATGTCCCCATCAATTTTTAATATTCACTGGCTGCATAAAATTCTTGGGCATCTCTCCTCCCTCTTTTTCAGAATGGATGTTGCACCCCACAAAAGCCTCATTTACAGGATTCAGGAAAAACTTGCAGAATTTCATGGAAATTGGTATCATTTTCCAGATTACAAATTAAGGGTGAAGTTTTGCCTTCACATATAGATTGAGGATTTCTACTGACTTCAATAAGAGTTGTATTTGGACCTGCAAGGGCACAATTTGGTCCTCAAAGGGAGCCTCTTGCTTTTCCTCCCTCCTGACTCCAAATTTCCTCTCTTCTATTAAGCTTATGCTCTAATAAATTTGTTAGTCTCTAAGGTGCCACAAGTACTCCTGTTCTTTTTGCGGATACAGACTAACACAGCTGCTACTCTGAAACCTCTCTTCTATGTTTCTCCTCTTTCTGTGACTCCTTCATTACTAACTAATGTTGTGACTGGAGGCCGCATGAGTCAGAGGGCAGTGGAGTCAAAAGCCCTAGGTTATATTCCAGCCTCTGCCCTGACCTACTAGATGATCTTGGGCAAGGCACCTCCTCTGTCTCCCCCTCTGTAAAAGGGTAAATGATGATTACCCTCTTTTTAAAATGCTTTGAGATTTACAGATGAAAAGTGCTATATGTGAACTGAATATTATTAATTTAAGAACATAAAAATAGCCATACTAGGTCAGACCAAAGGTCCATCTAGCCCAGTATCCTGTCTTCTGACAGTGGCCAATGCCAGGTGTTTCAGCGGGAGTGAACAGAATAGGTAATCAAGTGATCCATCCCCTGTCACCCATTTAAAGGATATGGATCTAATGCTGCACTACTGAATTCACTGGGAGTTTTATCAGTGACTGCAGTGGATGCAGGGAGAGTCTTTCTGTGAATATATGAAAGTTGCCTCCCTCTTAATACAAGGGATGGATTTCTAGAAGTACAGCATCTTACATAAATAGCTTTTAGTTTTGTTTTGTGTATGTTTGCTGTACTTATGACTTTCAGTTAAAAACCTCTATGTAAAGGTTTACTGTCTGGGCATAGAGCTCATACACTATTTAAAAAAAATAATCTGTATTTGTAATTTTTCACTTATAATACTTCAACTTTGTTTACAGTTACAGATTCTTTTTGGTTTGAGTTGGGCAATTTATAATGGTAAATGAATGTGCAGGCTGCAGGGAATAAGCCTTTATGCTTCTTGTTCTACTAATAAAAACAAAGAGCTTCAAAGAGAAGTTATAACCAAATGTCAAGGGAAATCTGTAAAGCTATAAGTGTAAACAGAAAACTAAGCAAACCATTTTTCTGACTTACGTCTACAACACAGATTATGAGTGAATATCGCTCCAGCAGAGAGTGTGGGCCAAATTCATCACAGTTATAATATATTGACTTCAAATAACTACACAGAAAATAATGCTACGTGGTTTTAGATGATAATTTTTTCTAGCCAAGTGATCACTTCACAGCATAAGAACATAAGAATGGCCATACTGGGTCAGACCAAAGGTCCATCCAGCCCAGTATCCTGTCTACCGACAGTGGCCAATAACAGGTGTCCCAGAGGGAGTGAACCTAACAGGTAATGATCAAGTGATCTCTCTCCTGTCATCCATCTCCACCCTCTGACAAACAGATGCTAGGGACACCATTCCTTACCCATCCTGGATAATAGCCATTAATGGACTTAACCTCCATGAATTTATCTAGTTCTCTTTTAAACCCTGTTATAGTTCTAGATTTCACAACTTCATCAGGCAAGGAGTTCCACAAGTTGACTGTGTGCTGTGTGAAGAAGAACTTCCTTTTATTTGTTTTCAACCTGCTGCCCATTAATTTCATTTGGTGGCCCCTAGTTCTTATATTATGGGAACAAGTAAATAACTTTTCCTTATTCACTTTCTCCACACCACTCATGATTTTATATATCTCTATCATATTCCCCCTTAGCCTCCTCTTTTCCAAGCTGAAAAGTCCTACCCTCTTTAATCTCTCCTCATATGGGACCCGTTCCAAACCCCTAATCATTTTAGTTGCCCTTCTTTTAACCTTTTCTAATGCCAGTATATTTTTTTTGAGAAGGGGTGACCACATCTGTACACAGTATTCAAGATGTGGGTGTACCATGGATTTATATAAGGGCAATAAGATATTCTCCGTCTTATTCTCTATCCCCTTTTTAATGATTCCTAACAGCCTGTTTGATCTTTTGACTGCCGCTGCACACTGCATGGACGTCTTCAGAGAACTATCCACGATGACTACAAGATCTCTTTCTTGATTAGTTGTAGCTAAATTAGCCCCTAATCTTTGTTTAGATATCATGTTAATAAAATCAAATAAAGCTGTTGCTGTGTTTTGTTTTTTCCTTTGCCTCTTTTAATAATTATTCCCCACTGCAATGTTAAATGTAGATGTGGAGTCTTAATTGGTTAGTTACAAGAAGATAATCTTTTTTCCTTCTCACTGTTGCCTGTTAGTTTAAAGGTATTTTAGCTGAAGGTAGATAATTATCGGTGAGAAGAAAATAACACTTCAGGAGTTCATTTTCCATCTTAGCACTTGGGACCTCCTTTGAACTCCCCTCACAAAACCCTCTTTCCCACTTTGTCACATCTCCCCCCCACCCCCTGTCATAAAAGGGTCTCCCTGCATAAAGACTTCAGCCATTGCTTGTTAGCTAAGGGAATTGCTTCTCACAACTGCTCTTCCTGGATGGATAAATTGCATGAGACTTTGCCGAATATGGAAGATGATTTGGGCACTGATCATTCTGCCTTTCTGTCTTCCTGGGACTGGAAGAGTAATGCAGGAGCCTATGAGCTGAACCAGATCTCATCCCCTCACAGCTTATCTCCATCTCCTTCCTTTGAATCGTATTCTTCTTCCCCTTGCCCAGCTGTGATTGAGATGCCCTACAACAGCAGCAGCAGCGGCAGCCTGATCGGATACAGCTTGATGGATTTTCCTTCCGCATACTTACCGAATGCTGGACAGGTCAAGGCTCAGAAAGGTACCAAGGCCAGGATGTCAGCCCAGCGCAGAAGGAAAGCCAGTGAGAGAGAGAAGCTCAGGATGAGGACCCTGGCTGATGCTTTACACACCTTGCGCAATTACCTACCTCCTGTCTACAGCCAAAGAGGCCAGCCTCTCACCAAAATACAGACACTGAAATACACCATCAAGTACATCAGTGAACTCACAGACCTGCTGAACAATGTCAAACGGGCATAGACACCCTTCCCTACCGCCTGACAAACCTGCCACTGGATCCCTCCTAAAGAATCTTTAAAAATATCGAATGGAACTTTGAGCTAGTTCTTCCTTTAAAAAATCCAGAGTGTCTTGAGCAAATGAAGACAGAACAAAAGGAATAGGGATGGATGGGTAGCTGCTGTACATATCTCAGAATGCTCTAAGTCGAAGGGGATGTTTATACTTGTACATTACTTGAGTTATGGGTTGTTGGGTTGGGTTTTTTTTAATGAGCTTCAAAAATATATTAAAATCAGTCTGATTCAATAGTGAGCAAGGCAAATAGATTCTACTAGGATTTACTCACCACAGTTCTGACCAATCTTCTGTTTAATAAGGACTGATTATTTGGCCAAATAATCAATCTACTCACTTAAAAAAAAAAAGATCAATGGGTTTAAAGTGAATTTTTAAAAGATGTAAAAAATAATACAAAAATACTAAGCATAATGGTCTGTAGGCACTTTAATATTAGGATTTGGAAAAGCATGTATATTTAGTTCAGATATTGCTGATAAATCAGGCTATTTATCCACATTTCTAAAATTATGTATCTAAAATGAAGAAACAAGTAATATTAAGAATGTCTTTGTCTTTGAAAACAAATAAAGATATCACTGCTTCATACTCAATATCTTGTATTGTATCTCTGACAGAAAAGCATATTCCAATAATGACTGATTCTTAGATCCATATAGAATCTAATAGAAAATAACCTTTTATAGAATTGTCAAACTTAGCCTACAAGTTTTCACAGCAGGGATATTAAATTCTATAGAATTTTAAAATGCTATGAAGATATTCTCTCTTAAATTCTATTTGTTTTAATAATTTCTATAGAAACATATTTACAGTACATAGAACCTGATTGGCTAAATTTGTATTAAATTCTGTGGGCCTTTTATCAGAGGGCTAGATTAGATCACACCCTCCTCTTTCTCTCCCTCCCTCTTCCCACAACTCAACTGACCAGAATCTAAACGTTTAATCTCAGTGAATCACCTCAAGTTACAGAATTGTGCAAGGTTCACACTTTAGGTGCTTTTGAAACCTAGGGTAACTGTAAGGTCTCCATGTCAAAAGATCAGCAGTTTCCCGCAGTCAAGAACAGTTAGTTTTCCTTCCTCTATAACCAGGAAACAGTTTAAATCTTAAGTTACTTTGACTTTCAGTGATAGATGCAACACAGGCTACATCATATTCTACAGTGAAAAGAAAAGTTTGCGTTATCTATTTTCCTCCAAATTCATTTAGAAAGACCTTGCTCTGCACTCGGAGGCCAGCAATATGCAGAGAGGACTGAAAGAGGAGAAGAACTGGTGCACTGCTGCAATGCAGGTCTGAGCTCTGTGGAGCAGAACAAAGTGGGTTAACCCTTTCTCTGTCCTGGAATATAAGACATAACCAGGGCTGCACCATTATTCTATATAGAATATAGGGATTTACAGCATATTGTGTGCATGGGGAGGGTGAATAGATGAGTGTCACTATGTTGGATGCATGTGTTGTGTTGTTGGGGGTACATGATATGTTAAATGTGAGCACTAAAGGATTATTACTTTACTGTATGCTTCCCAGCTCTTTCTTTTCTCTTTACCTATTCTGAGACATTTGGTTGTTTGGGGGCAGTGGGGTGGAGGGATAAATCTGTCCCTGGAATGTGTTTTGCCAAGGCTAGGCTTGATCTGACACAATGTTATTTTAGCATGGTACGTGCATATCCATATGTTCAGGATGTCAGCCATATAGTGGCTGAAATATATATCTGAGTTCAATACTGTGCAGGAAATAGAGTATGTCTCTGATTTCCATAACAAGCCACATTTAAAAGTACTCCATAGGCTCCAAATCTGTTTTAACTCAGCCTAGATTTCCAATCCAACTTGTGTGTTCAGTGAAACAAGCTGAGTGATCTCAGTTGCATCCTGAGAGAGGAGTAATCACAGCACAAATAAAGAAGACCTATTAGATTATCAAGGCAGAACATAGGCACATATCACACAGAAACTATATACTTCACTAACCATATAAAATTCCTGCATATAAATTTGCACAACTGCTGTACAGTGTCCAGGATGCAGCAGGTACAGAGATTGCCGGTTCCTGACAAACCCTAAAAGTGAGACTAGATACAGTCTTACTATGATTTTTGATTCATGCCTAGTTCTTTAATCCCCCACAAACTAAAATAATCAGTAAAACCAGTGTTACTGGAAATAAGGAGGGCCCTGTGATTAGAGCTGCAGAATAGCAGGCAAGAGCACTGGCTCTTATTGCTAGCTCTGCCAGACTCAGTGTGTGACCTTGGTCAGGTCATTTAGCCTCTGGGCCTCAGTTTCCCTATATGTTAAATGCAGATACTACTACTTAGCTGTTTCACAGGGGACTTTTAAGCAATGTTGTTACATAGCACCATATCATGAGGGCTGTGTAGAGAAGCACTGCCCCAGGAGGAATGTCTGAGACTCAGTGCCTCCCACAGCTCCAGAGAATGCTGCAGCCTAATGTCCCTACACCCCCACAGGGCCACCTCTGCTGGTATGAAATGGGAGCAGAACCCTGGGCCCACTTGCTGCCCATCCTTCAAGCCCAATATGGGGTGACTAGTGCCAGTGGCAGCATTGAGAGTTGCACAAGGACCAGTTTTTGACCAGACCCTACATAGGAGCCAAGGTGTCTGGCTGGGAATGCTCCTTCTCAGTGAGAAAGAGCAGGTCTAAGGCACTGCACTGGAACTCAGGCTATCTGGCTCCAATTCCTGGCTCTGCCATAGACTTCTTGTGGGACCCAGTCACTTCGGCTATGTCTACACTTGGAGGTGGGGGGGCACGCTTCCCAGCTTGCATAGACATACTTGTGCTAACTTTCATTGAGCTAGCACAGCGGTGGGCAAACTACGGCCTGTGGGCCACATCTGGCCCGTGGAACCATCCTACCTGGCCCCTGAGCTCCTGGCCCGTGAGGCTCGCCCCCCCAGCTCCTCTCCCCCTTGTCCGCAGCCTCAGCTCGCTCACTCCGCCGCCGGCGCAATGCTCTGGGAAGCAGGGCTGTGAGCTCCTGGGGCAGCGCAGCTGCAGAGCTGGGCCTGACCTGGTCTCTGAGCTGCGTGGTGGTGGCGGCGGCATGGCCCGGCTCCAGACGGGCGGCACGGCTGTAGCACTGCCAGCCACTAGTGCTCCAGGCAGCGCGGTAAGGGGGCAGGGAGCAGGGGGGTTGGCTAGAGAGCAGGGGAGTTCGGGGTGGTAGTCAGGGGCAGGGGTCCTGGGGGGCAGTCAGGAAGGAGGGGGAGTTGGATAGGGCAACAGGGGGCAGTCGGGGCAGGGGTTCTGGGGGCAGTCAGGGAACAGGGAGAAGGGGTGGTTGGATGGGGCAGAGGTCCCGGGGCGGCCGTCAGGAATGAGAGGAGGGGTTGGATGGGGCAGCGGGAGTCCGGGGGCAGTCAGGGGACAGGGAGCGGGTGTGTGTGGATGGGGCAGGGGTCCCAGAGGGGCTGTCAGGGAACAGGGGGGTTTGGATGGGGCAGGAGTCCCAGGGGGCAGATAGGAGGTGGGGGCCAGGCCACAACCCCCTCCCCTAACCGGCCCTCCATACAATTTACGAAACCTGATGTGGCCCTCAAGCCAAAAAGTTTGCCCGCTCCGAGCTAGGACATCAAAAATAGAAGTGTCACTGCGGTAGCTTGGGCAGCAGTACAGTTTAGCTGCCCCAAGTGCAAAACCGTCCGGACCCCGTGGATACATACTTGGATGCCCATGCTGCCACTCACTACTTCCTGACTACTATTTTTAGCGAGGTAGTTTGCTGAGAGCTAGCCCCAGTATGCTTCTACCAGGTGGGAATCACAGCTCTAAGTGTGGACATAGCCAAAGGGTGGGATCTTAGACTTAGGCACAGTAATGCTTAGCATCTTGGTGCCTAACGGGGCTGCCAGTGAACAGGAGGTGCGGGGGGGAGGAGCTAGGCTACCAGTGGGTGCTAAGCATCCGCAAAAACATTTCCATGGATGCTCCAGCCCTGGAGCACCCATGGAGTCAGCACCTATGGGGAGATGCTTAGCACACACCCCTCTCTCAGAGATCGGTACCTACAGCCAGGTTGCAGGGAGATGCCTATGTCACTTTAGCAAACCACAAACAGAAACCTGACACCTGCAGTTAGGCGGCTAAGCCCTTTTGAGGAGGAGAGGAGAGGAGGGAAGAAGGAGGAGGAGGAGGAGCTGGCCATTGTATGATTTTAAGCCCAGTGGTTATAGCATTCACCTGGGCTAGAGGAGAGCAAGGTTCAAGTCCCCCTCTCTCTGTCAGAGGGGGAGGAAAGGATTTGAACAGGGGTTTCCCCACATTTTAGGAGAGCACTCTAACCACTGAGCTCTGGGATATTTTTATTTCAGGGTCCCTCAGTCTCGCTTCTTGAAGCACTTGCACACTGGATAAGTAATGAAAGAGTGATGAGAGCAGAAAAATTGAACCCACGGCGTCCCCACTGCCAGGTGGGTGCTCTAACCATTGGACTACAGAATCATACTCTCTCTCCTGCTAACTCTTCCTCCATACGTAAATACTTAAACAATAATTGGGCCAAAAAAAGAGACCAAAGGCAGACTTGAACGTGGGTTTTCCATATCCCAGGTGACTGCTCTAAGCATTACACTGAAAGTTATAAGGTGATTACTGCCCCAATGGGACCTGCTGTGGTAGGCACTTTCTGAGCACACCTGCTCACCGAGGCCCCACAACTGGTTCATGAGTCGCTTTGGGGCTTAGGCAGGTCATTGGCATCTGGATGCCTAAAGTGAGGCAGCAGTGTGCATGCCCTGAGGCAGGATCATAGGAGCCTAGGGATCTTTTACTCTTAAACCAAACTCAGGTGCTGAGTAAATTTAGGTGCCTGCAGGGTTTGGTGGGAGTTTTATGGATCACAGTGGAGCCAAACATGGGACTTAAGCACCTAAACCCAAGACTTAGGTGCCCTGATCCCTGTCAGTGTCTCTAAAGTGTCTCCATCTACACTGGAATAAAAGATCTGTGACATGGCTATGGCTGGCCCAAGCCCCACGAGCCCAAGTCAGCTGACACAAGACAGCCATGGGTGTTTGTTTGATGTGTAAACATACCCTAAGGGTTCACCTACACTGCAATGACAGCCCAGTGTTTGAACTCAGGCTTAAGCCTAAACCCCCATCCATCTACAGAGAAATCATGTTAACCAGGGGCTGGGATGTGGGGGTCTCAGGATCTCATGGGGCTGGAGGGTCCAAGCCTGAGTCAAGGTGGGAGAGACCCAGGGTTCAAGCCTTATTGCTAACCAGTAGAGATGCAGCCCCACTGGACTTATGCTCTGGAAGTCCACCAAAAGTATCCCACAATCCCATGGGCCAACTTTTTGTCCCCTGGACAGTCAAGTTTGGTGGACAGTCAAGTTTTCCCACACTGCACCATGAATAAAGGCTAGAGTGGCCACATTTTGGATGGGCACAAGGAAGTCTGGGATATGGGTGGTTGGACTCAGGCTCACATAATGCAGTGAAGACACTACAGCCCCAAGTTGGGACCATGGTTCAACAATTCCTAACCTCGGGTTACAAATGAGAGCAGACCCTCAAACC